TATACATTTTAATAAAATAAGTACATTTAGAACTGAATGTATTAACAACAGACGTGATTTGGCAGTGATTTTAAACCTTATTACACAGCACTAAGTTACTATTTCCAGCAACAATGTGAGAATTGATTAAACTGCCAACTTTCCATAAGTATTTTAATCAATTTTCCACTTTATAACAAAAACATACACACACACAAAATAAGATTGAAAATCGACTGACAGGTTATAGTAACTTGATTAATTGTTGGCCCTTTTAAAAACACAAAAAAGACGTATGTAAATAAATACATAGCAAAATGAACCTTACAACCTTTGTCTAAAAGCTTGTTTTCCACTATCCAAATAAAAACACAGCCCTAGCTGTTATTCTCATGTTTTATAACCTTTTTCTTTCCTCTCTTACCAGGAATCATGATTTTACTCTTCCATTCCTCAGTACCAACTGGATCTTGAACTTGTATAATCTGTCCCGTCTCCGGGTTGACAGGAAACACACCTTCCGGAGTGATTTTCTTCTTAGCAGTATCTGTATTATGTCTGCGTTTCATGTGCTTGTTATAATTGGACCAATTCGTGAACTCCATACCACAGTGCTGACAGGAATATGGCTTGGCCCCAGTATGCTGTCTTTCATGATTCTTTAAAATCTGTTTAAATCTAAACGCTTTGTTACAATATGAACATACATAAGGCATGGAGTCTGTGTGAACTATTTTATGTGCATTCAGCTGGTACTGTAGTCTGAAACATCGGCCACACTGTTCACAGGAAAACGGCTTCACTCCGGAATGCATCTCAACGTGCCGTCTCAGCATATTCGGATACAAGAATGACTTATTACAAATTCTACACACGTGAGGACGGTTTTTGTCGTGAGATAGTATGTGCGAAGTGAGCGTACCTTTGTTATAAAACATTTTGCCGCACCGGTCACAAGTGTAATTCCTTTTCCTATCTATCGTGTGCAGCTTCATATGATCCCGAAGACTGTTGGGGTTCTTGTAAACTTTCTTGCATAAACTACAGGTGAGATCTTCAATTGTAATTGGAGTCCCAGGCTTCCGTCTTGGTCTGCGTTTCGGTTTTGTAATGGTATAATTTTGTAGATGAGCTTTGAGCGAGTCCTCGTTTTTGAGTATCTCCCCGCACAATGGACACGGCAGCTGGCTTTTGACGAAGTGTTCCTTTATGTGGACCTTCATAGTCTCCGTCTTGTCGAACTCCGAATCGCAATAGTAGCAGTGGTTCCTGGAAATTTTGAAATTAATGAATTTAATAAAATTTAAGTGTATGTTTGTGTTGATCAATTCATGGGTTTCATTCAGGGCTTAATTTTAAGTAAATTCTTTGTCTATTTTGGCAGTTTGTTAAAGGTATAATGAGGATGTGTCAGACTCTTGTAGGCCGAGGCCGCGGTACCATTTTCTGTTTGAACCGCGACCCCGGGCCTATAGGGATAAGGCCGGATATAGGGCCCTGTCTGTAGTGGTCTATAGGCTCTTTGAGGCGCGCGTGGAACGCTACGCGCCCTACGCTCAGGTCTGGTTCTGGTTGGGCAGCGAGCTACCGTTTGTAGACCCGCGCTTACGGTGGCCAAAGATCGTCAATGGGATCCCCCGCTTGAGAAGAATGACAAATAAATTAAGTAGGAACAGAGTGGCATTGCGGCATTCCTCACAATAAGCGCAGCAGACAGCTGCTGCTTTGTTGCCTAATTCGGAATCATACCTTGATAGTCCGTTACCGTCTACCTATACTAATATTATAAAGCTGGAGAGTTTGTTTGTTTGAACGCGCTAATCTGCAGAACTACTGTTTCGAATTGAATAATTATTTTCGTGTTTGTTAGTACATTTATCGAGTAAGGCTTTAGGCTATAAAACATCACGCTACAATTTGTTGGAGCCCAGCAGCGAGTGAAACCGCGCGACAGATGCTAGTTGAAAAATAAATTATATAAAACGGTACTTTTATTTTTAATGTAATAGATCGGCATTCGAGCAGACGGATTACCATTAGGGTAAGAAATCAGCGCCGCCCAAGGACACCCGCAACGGAGGAGTTACGAGTGCGTTGCCGACCTCTTAGGGATTAGGGTTTTGGAGATTAAGGGATTGGGGAGGGATCGGGGAAGGGGAAGGATTGGGCCTCCGGTAACCTCACTCACACGGCGAAACACAACGCTGCGGTTGTTTCACGCCGTTTTTCTGTGAGGCCGTGGTATCACTCCGGTCGAGCCGACACATTCGTGCCGAAGCATGGCTTTTTTTTTCTTCCTCTTTTTTCTTTTTTATAAACGTTGGGTTGTTGTTGGGTGCGGATACAAACATTAAATTTCACATACACGTGACATCCAGACCCGGAACAACAATTTGTGGATAACACAAAGAGTTGTTCCGTGCGGGAATCGAACCCGCGACACGTTGCACAGCAGCCAGTTGCCCGGCCACCGCACCAACCGTGCAGTCAAGTGATTGTTTACTATAAGGTAATCTACATGCTCATTTGCCATTCTATCACATAAAAATAAGACACCAACTACTGTAGTTGTGTTGGACCACTTATAAACTAAAGACCCAAAGTATACATTCTTGTGCCAAAGACTAAGTTCAAATCTTAAACTAATCAAATAAATAATTTCAAATTGAGAATTTCAAATCCTACTGAGAAACTTTTATTACCTATATGTATATAACTACTATGTTCATACTGAATGTGTATGTTATTAGGCACAAACTAATCTCAAGTGTTTAACTTTGTGATGCAAGAAACCTATATAAACTGGCATTTTTTGTATTGAAGTAGATATGTAATTTATACATCCTTTGTATTTTAGTAAGTAACTATTTTTGTTGATGTTATAGGGTGACATTATCACTCAGCGATAAAGCCCTTAAAACTGAGAATAATAAAATAAAAACTTTTCGATCATGGTAAATAGGCACAATAGGTGTGTGAACACCGGCTTCACTTGGGATTCCATGACTTTAAGTGGAAAGATGTTTTGAACACAACCATTTTACTTTTAATAAATAATATTATGTTATTTCTATTGATAATTTTATATTAAAGCTCATGAGTTTGTTGCTGTAGTTATTTTTAGTGTATACTAAATTAGATTTGTAATTTTTTCTGCATTCTATATTGCCTGACCAACCTAACCATTGTAGGTGGTTGATCACCCAAAGATTAACAAGTAAGAATGCCTATGACATTAAGTTCACTTGTAATATTATGTTGTTTGTTTTTCTAAGCTTGCTAATTTTAGAAGTTACTGGTTTGAATTTCAAAATTATTTAAAAATATAATAACTACTAGGGGAAAAGCAGTAAGTGAAGCAACACAGGTTTAGCTAATACTAAGTACTAATATTACAAATGCAACAATTTGATTGTTTTCCTATCATGTTTTACTGGAGAAATATTGTGTGAATGTGAAAGTGTGTATTTTATTTTTAAGACAATTGGGTACCCATATCAACTGATAATATTATATTAAAACATAGAGACTGCAAGTAACAATTAGTAAGTAATAAAATAATCTAACAATACATACCTTAGTATCTCCCTGTGTTTCCGAACATGTTTTATGAAGCCTGTGAACTCCTCATTCCTTCTTCGAGCTTTACAGTCTATGCATATAAACGCAGAGCACTTCCCGTGCACAACTTTACAGTGAGATCTTAACATGGCAATGTTTAAAAACTCAATATTACAGTATCCACACACCCAAGGATAATCTTTCCATGACTTTACAACCTTTTTACTCAAATCTGACAGATCTTTAGCATATATAGTGACGTTGGAGTTGAAGGAAGCGTTGCATATAGCCGCGTCAAGTATGTCCTGCACGTTCAACGAGTCATCATACGCCTGATCATCTAAATCAGGTTCCTCCTTCAACTCATGCTTCACTTCCAAACTTATATCCATCTGAGGCGGTTCCTTATTCTCCTCCAATTTAACAGTAGAAGAGTCGTCATTGCAAAGGAAATCGTCAAAACCCGCACATCTATCGTCGTCAGATATATCGCATTTGTTATCTTCGTTGTTCGTAAATATGTTCGATAATACATCTTGTGCGCGTTTCACGCTATCCAGGAAGTCGTAAGCTTTATTCAGATTGTTGTAGCATACCAAACAAATAGTTTTCGGCAATGTATCGCTATTTGTTACGTTCACATACACAGCATTAACAAACGCAAGTTTTAAGATTATTTCGTCGTGTTTTTGCGTGTCTTGCTGTAGGTTTAGGAGCTTTTCAGAGCTCTTAAGCTCGGCGCAGAAGCGGCAGTACAAGTTATCCATTTTTTATATTGTTATTAACCCATTACAATTTGTGTTTTAATGAAATTTCTACAAATTCGCATCGTACAGCAATAGTAGCTGTAAGCTGTCAAATTCTTTTTGTCAAACAACTATGGTCCATAGACAAACATTTATATTTTCTTAAGAGTTGTCCTCCCATGTTTAGTTTAAAAGTTCGGTTTTTATATTTGTATGTTTTGTTTATTATTTTGCAAAGCTATACAAACCATTATAATTATTAGTGATTGTAATTTTTTTAACTTTGCTAAATGTGTTATTCATTTTCACTATCTAAAACAGACAAATAAAATTAAAGATACGTAAATACACTAAGAATGCGATGTCGAAGACTCGATATCATAAAACTACCAAACACCGACATCGACGAGCCCTATTATTTACTAGGGACCCGCCCCGGCTTCGCAGGGGTCAATGCAGAAACCAGATTTCTCCACTATTTAATGTATATTATTAATAAACATTATGTAAACCTTCTACTTAAATTACTGTAGGTATATCAGTCTATTTAAACAAACCCGCATGAAAACCCTTTGCTTAGTTTTAAATATTTAGACGTACACAGGGATATAGGGACAGAGAAAGCGTTTTTAATATTTAGCGATGTAAAAGAAAACAACATGCAAGTAGGTGTCAAGTCAAAACATTTTTATTTGTAGTTTCTTGATGAAGTTGTTAAAGTATGCCTCCTAGACCCAGGCCGCCTCGACCGCCGAGGCCCAGACCACCGAGTCCTAGGCCACCACGCCCGCCGAGGCCAAGGCCTGTTCCGATACCTGATAGAACACAAAAAACATTTAGATTTTTAACATATTTAACTAAATAGCCCGGAGGTTGAGGCACCCGTTGTTCGTGCATGAAAGTTCGAGACATCGCAAGTACCAATGTGACTTTTTCCGAGTTGTATGCACTTTCTGCGATTATTTCGACACAACTGACATACGGTGAAGGAAAACATCGTGAGCAAACTTGGACTTATATTTCCAAATTATAAGTTTGAAATCGCAAATTCGTCTTGAGTAAGCGTGGTAATTCATGCTCATACCTTCTCCGCGTAAGAAAAGGTCAGTAGTGAGCGCTTATAGGCTGATGATGAGGATGATGTGAACAATTGTAAATACCCTTGTTGTTAAAGCAGACTCACTTACAATTGCATTCAGGTTCAATTATTTGGAAAATCATTACTTCCTATTCTACCTTATCCACGTAATAGTTTTTTTTTTTTTATTTAATAGATCGGCAAACGAGCATACGGATTACCTGATGGTAAGTAATCAGCGCCGCCCATAGACACCCGCAACGGAGGAGTTACGAGTGCGTTGCCGACCTTTTAGGGATTAGGGATTTGGAGAATTAAGGATTGAGGACGGATTGGGGGTGGGGGAAGATTGGGCCTCCGGTAACCTCACTCACACGGCGAAACACAACGCTGTGGTTGTTTCACGCCGGTTTTCTGTGAGGCCGTGGTATCACTCCGTTCGAGCCGACCCATTCGTGCCGAAGCATGGCTCTCCCACACTTCATTCTGTACCATATCCTCTTTCCAAGGTAAGCAGTAGGAAGACCGCAATTAAAAGAGTAATGGTTTTTGCAGTTTTTGCCAAGTCTTTGTTTATGGAACTTATTTACTTATATGAATGAATATTATTAGCTTTAACCCCGTGAGGTTGCACTTTTAACAAATTAAAAGTAAAAAAAACATGTTTACCTTCAAGGCCTGTTCCAAGTCCAATCCCGATGTTACCGAGACCAGCTCCAATACCAGTTCCTACTTCATTAAGACCCACTCCTAAATCGCCGAGGAAAGGCTTGGCACTGGCGACCGCCAGGACAGCCAAAACTACGATAATCTGTTGAAGAAAATGTTTCAAAATTAGACCATAGAATTTACAGCGTAGCACACAGTCAAGCGTAGAGGATCAGGATACATTTGGATCTGAAAGGATATAGAGACCTTAGGATGGATAGCCTAGCCATCGGGTAGGGGTAGCTCGCCACCCGACCAAAACCAGGCCCGAGCATACGGCGTAGCGTTCCGCGCGCGCCTTTTAGTGCCAATAGACCACTACAGAAGAGGACCTATAGGGCTGATGTTTAGCCCGGTTTGCGGGGTAAGCGTAATAAGGTACCGCGGCCTTAGCTTGGAGCAGGAGAAGGAACGAGGGGTTTTAGTCAGAAAGAATCTGACTGTCTAACATAATCTGGGTGAGAGAAGTAATTTGACAATTAAAACTCCATAAAAAAAAAGTCGAGCGTAGGGGATCAAGATACATTTGGATAATAATTGGAAGGAGGATAGACCACCCATAAGGTGGTTTGGCAACGATAAAGCCATTAAATGCTGAAATGGTCAATGACGTCTAGATGGGTCGGTAGCAGGCAACCTGAATCCTGGACTGTTATCACTTGGATAAAGGTCTAGTTGTGGAAGTTATTGAAGGAAGAAGGCATTATGGGGATAAGGGGTTTTGGATGATTTAATTTTTGGACTTTCGTTAGTGGTTTAGTTGGATTAAATGATTTTGTGTTTGACTTTGATTATTTTATGTCATAGGTTGGCGAAGGAGCAGACAGATTACCTGATGGTAGGCAATCGGCATCGCCCGTGGACACTCGCTAAACCAAAGGATACTACAAGTGCGTTACCGGTCTCTTTTGTAGGATAGCGGATTTAAGGATGGGGATGATTACAGACGGGGCCCTATAGGGTTGATGTTCAGCCGGGGTTGCGGGGTAAGCGCAATAAGGCACCGCGACCTCGGCCCAGAGCATGAGAAGGAACAGGGGGGTTTTTAGTCAGTAAGAGTCTGACGCTAACTTTGATGATTTTCCCCTCACAAAAAAACAGGATGGAGATGATTGGGCTCTCTCATACTAAGCATGGATCTCGCACACTTGATATTATTATGATCATGATGATAATGAGAACTTACCATGGACTTCATTGTTAGAATAGTATCGGAGCTGGGCACACAATGTCCACAACTACTCTGTGTCCACCTTATATACCTCAACTATAGCAATTACTAATGTGTTATTAATTAATGGACTGACCACAGAGCAATTATTTGTGATTGATGTAAGTACTCGATTTTTGGCAATCCTGTTTGTAACTTAGTACTTAGTAAGACATTTATTTCTCTAATTACAAATAGAACTGGTTCATTGATAATGTTCTAATATGTTTTGCCTGTGCGTAGATTTCTTCGTCCGAAATCTTTAGAGTCGTCGACATCATATTGATATACATATGTGTCAAATCAATCGAAAACACCCAGGCATTAAGTCGGCCAATTTACCAGGGTCAATATTTTTTTTATGGCATAGGTCGGCTGACAAGCTTTTGAATTACCTGATGGTAAGCAATCGGTGGCGCCCATGGACACTCGTAATGCCAAAGGTGTTAATACAAGTGCGTTGCCAGCCTTTGAGGCTGGAGGCTTTGAGGATTAAAAGGGAAGGTATTTACGGAAGAGGGTTTCGGGGATTGAGAATAGGGGTGTGAAGGGGGAAGGATTAGGACTCCGGTGACCTCAATAATACGGCGAAACATAATGCGGTTTTTTTACGTCTGTTTTCTCTGAGGCCTTGGTATCACTCCGGTTGAGCCGATCCATTCGTGCCGAAGTTCCATACTTCTTTACATCTCCAATACGTAAAATTATTATTAAGTACTTACAATTATTTTATTGAAATCCTTCAATTTTGTTACGTTTCATTTTTAGTTATAATTAATTTGTGTGGGGCTGGATTGTAAGCGTTAATGTTAGTTAGTAGTAGCAACTTAGTTTTCATAATTTTAGCGATATATAATCCCTTGCTTTTAATTTTCTTACATTACAACGATTTTTAAGGAATCATAACTCTATATTTATAGCGTATTACGCTTATTAAGCTGTATTCTCTAACGCCATTTCAACTATCTTGTTGTTTTTTTAGCGTGAAATAAAGTATTTTCCTTTCTTTTCTTTCTTTCTTTCTATCTCGATACGAAAACCAAAACTCATGATTCCAATGAATGTTTTTAAAACTATTCAAATTAACAAGTCGCTCTAAAGGGTGACAATTCTTTTAAGAGTTACTAAGTATTTATGGTCACGCAATTCGTAGACTAAACTAGTAGAGCTTTTCTCAATTACACACGTGAATAACCCGCGATTTTTAGTTAATTTAGTATATCCCACTATAGTTATTATAAAAACACACAATTCGATTTTTATGTTAAGTAGTCAGTTTTATTTTTCAGACTTGTTCGTGTGAGCTTCTACAGTTTTTCATTTTCCTAACCATTGCTTCTCACGCATTTGCAGTAGGAAGTATCTCTGCGTGGTTGTTTCTAATCTATCTCTACATATATCTGAAACCCTAATCCCTAAAATACCGGAAAAAACTCGTAATTCTATAGGTGTGTCCATGGACGGCGCGAATTGCTTTTTTTTACTTGCAATAAACTAATGCTTGACTGCGATCCCACCTAAGTTAAGCAGTGATGCAATCGTTGATGGTACGGCGCACTAGTTTATTAAGAGCCTATTCACTCTAGCCTTGAAGACACCTAAATTGTATTCGGACGGAAAGACTGCAGCCGGCAAACTGTTCCAATCCCTCCATGTCCGCGGTATAAATAACGAGGTAAAAGTAGTTAGCTTACATCAAGCAAACCATATGTGTGGGATAATTATAATAATTAGATATAAGTGTGGGAGAGCCATGCTTCGGCACGAATGGGTCGGCTCGACTGGAGTGATACCACGGCCTCACAGAAAACCGGCGTGAAACAACAACAGCGTTGTGTTTCGCCGTGTGAGTGAGGTTACCGGAGGCCCAATCCTTCCCCTCCCCCAATCCCTCCTCAATCCCTAAATCTTCAAATCCCTAATCCCTAAAAGGTCGGCAACGCACTCGTAACTCCTCCGTTGCGGGTGTCCATGGGCGGCGCTGATTGCTTATCATCAGGTATTCCGCACGCTCGTTGGCCGACCTATTACATAAAAAAAATATTATGTTCATTTGCCGCCCTATCTCATAAAAAAAGAAGACGGAAAAGGTCGGATTTCAGTCATATTACTTAAACATTGATACATAACATAAATAGAATTTTTAAGATTCATTTTTTTAAAGAATACTCACAGGCATATTTTGTTTTCCTAATTGCTCGATCAAACTTGTTTAATAACAGAAGCCAAGAGATAAGTAGACATTGTTTAACCAAATCAATAAATAAACACGTTTGTTTAATTGAAATATTAATAATCTCCCACTTTGATAGTGTCGTCTGAAAACTATTACAGCGCCATCTTGATAGATATTAAAACCAGAAAGTAAATTAGAAATTTAATAAGTACTTATAAGTTGTTATTATACAAACCGTAAATCATTCTTCCCCGGGACTTCTCCCGCCTCTGATGGGGCACGAGGGAGTGTTACGCTCTAACTGACTACTCCGGGTATCGGGAATCGAGCGATGATTTTTTTTTGTCTTTGGAAAATCATCCAATGACTTCTCCCGCCCAGGGTAAGGCGAGAGAGAGTGTGTCAGATTCTTACTGACTAAAAACCCCCTCGTCCCTTCTCCTGCTCTGGGCTGAGGTCGCGGTGCCTCATTGCGCTTACCCCGCAGCCCCGGCTGAACATCAGCCCTATTGGGCCCCGCTTGTGGTGGTCTATTGGCTCTTTGAGGCGCGCGCGGAACGCTACGCGCCGTACGCTCAGGTCCGGTTCTGGTCGGGTAGCGAGCTACCCTTACTCGCCGTCCGCAGACACGCGCTTACGGTGGCCGGAGATCATCTCTCGATCCCGGACGCCCGGAATATCGCCATCTGCGGCGGCTGGGCGCGATGAGGATAGTTTAGGGAGGCGCTCCGCCTCCTCCTCTGCGAGCATAACTGCTTCGCTGAAAGAGGAGATAGCTTCCCAGTTCCTCTCGCTATGAACCATGGCGTCAATTAAGGCCGGGCACGAGAGGTCGCCGCCGCTGATCACTTCCCTGAGAACACGGCGGCACTCAGCCCAAGCAGGGCACTCCGCCACCGTAAGCTACACCGTGTCCTCTAGGTGGTCCTCACAATGACGACACCCGGGCGTTTCCTCCTGCTGGATCCGAAACAGGAACCTACCGAGGCTGCCTTGCCCGGTAAGCACCTGTGTCAGGCGGAAGGTGAGGACGCCGTGACGTCTCTTAAGCCACTCCTCAAAGAGGGGTCTTACCGCTGCTATAACAGCGTGCCCGGCCCTCGGTTGACCGTATGGTGATGTCTAAATAATCATAGAATGTCCTTGGTAGGTACTTCTGAGATTTCGGACCCCGTCCTATAAAACAATTTGCATCATAGCGGAATTAAAATCACATATTTTTCCTGCACTTGTAGTTTATGGAAGAATTATTAAAGAAGCAGTCCAGGACTCCAGAGTTAATTTTATTTAGGTAAATAATAGGATAAAAGTGTTACATATATTTCTTTTAAGTCTGTAAGATGTTATGGGGCAATTAGAAAGGTATATCCTTATTCAGTTAATCTTATAAATGTATATATACTAATATTATAAAACGGAGCAGTTGGATGGTTTGCTTGAACGCGCTAATTTTTAACCGACTTCAAAAAAGGAGGAGGTTCTCAATTCGACGAGTATTTTTTTTTTTTTTTTTTATGTATGTACACCGATTACTCGAATACGCCTGGACCGATTTGCGAAATTCGATTTTTATTCGATAGGGTATACTTGCCATTTGGTCCCATTGTCATGAGGTCAGGATCTGATGATGGAATCCTGGAGAAACCGAGGGGAACTTTCGAAAATTGTAGGGGCGAGTAGTTTTTTGTATGATGTTTAAGTAGGCCTTTAACAACACTACAACTTGACGAAGGTCGAAGTCGACCAGATGATGGAGCTGGAAGACAGTCGAGGGATCTCCTTGACTATTTGAAGTAGTTGCCTTGTGTTTGGGCTTGAATGATTCGTATTGGCGAGCACTTTGCAGCAGGCTTAGTTGTAACTGTCATTAAGGGTCTGATGATGAGAACGAAGGACAGCTCAGGGAACTCCTGAACGGTCTACAGTAACTACTTCGTGTTTAAACTTAATTCATTAATATTGATGAAAACTTCGTACCTGTATGTATTATAACAACTGAAGGTCTGCAGTTTACCTGATGATGGAGACCATTGACCGTCGAGGGAATTCCGGATGAAACCGAGAGACAGTCGAGAGAACTCCTCAACGATTCATAGCAGCTTCCTTGTGTTTGAGCTTAATAAATTAGTTTTGCAAGTCACAATCCATCTAGGTGTAAAGTTCATATACTTTACACCTAGATGGATTGTGACTGTCATTAGGGATCTGATGATGAAGACGAAGGACAGTCTAGGGAACTCCTCAACGGTTTACAGTAGCTACCTCGTGTTTGGACTTAATTTATTTATATTGTTAAGAACTTTCCCTCTTCCAGAGAGATGACCTGTGTCCCAGTAGTGGGAAAATTAAAATGGCTGATAATGATGATGATGATGATGAGAACTTTCCTATTTCTTGGGATCTATATTTTTTAATAGAGCGGCTCCTTTCGTAGTCCTACACATAGCTACTTAAAAATATATACTATTCAATATGTTATTTTTATTTAAAATGTTACTGTAGTTTACAGAAGAACTTGTAACAGACACTACAAAGTAAAAAATAAAAAAAACTACGTTTAAAAAAACCGACTTCAAAAACAAAAAAGTGTCAAATAAGTAATTAAAATTGATATTTTAAATCCACTCTTACGTACGCGAAGCTAATACTTTTAATATTAATAATAAAACACTATCAATTCTATGTGCTACCTATTCATAGGTTTGAAGTCGGTGCCAAGCCCTAAACAGAATAAAACTAAATGAGAATTCAAACTGTTTAACTGCTAAAAGACGAAATTTCCACAACCAACAACGAATCTACCTACTACTACTTTTAACATCCAAGTACGAGAAAACTTTCAGAATTCATAATTCATCCAAATATCTTTCTAAGCTATATACAGTTTCGCCGGTAACGCAACCATATAGACTTCTGATTCTACGCTAACGCCATCAAGTTAGAAAATCTATACTAAATTTCTTAAATCCTAACAAATAAATTCAAACGCGCCCGGCGAGTGTAGGTACTCATGTATCGTGCTTATTATATTATGTATTAGGCTTGGCACCGACTTTAAACCTATGAATAGGTAGCACATAGAATTGATAGTGTTTTATTATTAATATTAAAAGTATTAGCTTCGCGTACGTAAGAGTGGATTTAAAATATCAATTTTAATTACTTATTTGACACTTTTTTGTTTTTGAAGTCGGTTTTTTTAAACGTAGTTTTTTTTTAGAACTACTGGTTTGAATTGACCAATTCTTTTTGCATTGGATAGTCCTTTTATTGAGGACTAATGGAATGAAGACTAATGGCTAAAAAGCATCACATTACGATGCGGCGCGGGAGAAACAAGTTTGTTCATAATTTGCATTATAGGTGCTTTGAGGAAAATCTTACAACTGCGATTGTTTTGATCATTAAAATAAGATATTTTGGCGTAACTTTCAAACTTGTTCCAAACAGTATGATTCTGTTGTTTTAATTAAGCGATAGTTACTCATCTCCAACATCTCTGAGACCCTATCCAAAGACTAAGGTCGGCAACGCACTCGTAACTCCGGCGTTGTGGCGGGTGTGTGTATTGCTTATCCTCAGGTAATCCAACTGTTCTGTTACCGTCCTATAACATGAAAAAGACGCATCTTGAGCCGCTAATTAAGACATGGCGGCACCAAACCAACTGTGAAGACAGCGTTTGGCCATTACAAAAATATCAGTAAGATATTTGTGATCGGGCCATTAGTATCACGTCATCAGCCTTTAAGTGCCCACTGCTAAGCAAAGGCCTCTTCTCACACGGAGAAGGTTTGAACATTAATTGCCACGTTTGTTCTAGACAGATTGGTGATCTCAAACTTCAAATTAGAAATAACAAGTCCAGTTTTCCTCATGATGTTTACCTTTACTGTATGTCAGTGGTGTCTAAATACATAGTTTGAAAGAAGATATACATATATTTATGACTAGTTTAGTAAAAGTCACATAGGTCATTGCCAGGTTTATGCCCGCACTCTCATGTATGCGATCCTCCGAGCCACCTCGACTTACTTAAGCGATGACGGCCAATAGTATAATACCAGCAATAACAGCGCCATCTTGTAAACAAAATTGTAAACATTTCTGAGTGCGCTACCTAGTGAAAATAAGGAATTACACTCGGTAGATGGCGTTGTAATTGGTTGCAATGTTTCGAAAATGTGGTTTTGACCAAATCGAGATGGCGCCACCGTATAATACCGTGAAATTGCTGACAAATCTTGAAACAAGTGATTGCGAGACAACCATTTTTATTTTATCAAGGGAAAATCGTCAAATGACTTCTCCCACCCAGAGTAAGAGAGACTGTCAGACTCTGACTAAAAACCCCCCGTTCCTTCTCTTGCTCTGGGCTGAGGCTACGGTGACTCATTGCGTTTAACCCGCAAACCCGGCTGAACATCAGCTCTGTAGGGCCCCGTCTGTGGTGGTCTATTGGATGTTTGAGACGCGCGGTCTGATTGTGATCGGGTGGCTAACCTACCTTTACTAGCCGTCCTCAGACCCGCGTTCCGGTGGCCGGAGATCATCTTTCGATCCTCGACGCTTGGAATGTCGCCTACTGTGGCGGCTGGGGCCATGAGGTGAGGAGGATAGTTCCCTCACGCGCTTCGCTATTGCGAGGAACCTGGACTTATAATTTTGATTATAAGTTTGAAATCGCCATTCCACCTTCTCTTTGTAAGAAGAGTCTTGTGCTCGGTACTGGACACTTACCGGCTAGTGATGTAATAGATATAATTAAGTATATGTACGTATATATATAATGGTCTATCGATTTAGTTAATTAACGATAAAAAACTATCTTGGCATTGCTTTTTTCTTGTATGTAAAAATGTTTACAATTTACCTTTATCGATGTTAGCTAATAAACTAAATTGAAATAATCTTTGTATGTACTTTATACTACGACCTCTTTAATATAAAAAAAGTTAAGATCAACATTGTTTTCCTTGAGTTACACACTGAACCGATAGACCATAATTGAATCGTTTTTCCATATTTTATGAAAAAATATTAAGTAGGTAATAAAACTTCAGAGTAACAATACACATTTATTTTCCATTCTAAACATCTATACATTTTGCTTACAGCGGGAAAAAAGTTACAATGATTTTTAACTTGAGAACTTGTTTCATTTGAGAACATTGATTTTTATATGTATAAACATAAACTGTTTATTTAGGAGGCTGACAGACACAAAAGCTACGTTCTATTTGGAAATATTTTTTAACATAATTCATTTTATTTGTGTACCTATGATAGCGATATTACACAAACGAATTGCCTTTATATCATATAGGTAACCACGTAACTAAAAGAATATCAAGTAGATCAAAAAATAATAATGATCTTATTACTTACGCGCCAAAAATCTTCCGCCATTTTGAATTTCTCAACACACAATAACAATAGACTATACTAAACAACATTGCCACAGGAAAAAACATAACTATCACAGGATTTTAAAAATTAAAAAAACAGACTAACATCGAATGCTTACATTTTACAAGTAGGTATTTACAGAAAACATTGCTAGAACACGTAGATTATTATTTACATTATATTTTGACATTTAGAAATCTCTATAGGCCTATAATATATCTGCATTCTAGCCTAAGGATTACAACTAAGCTTGCAAGATTATCAAGCAAGTATTAAAAGTTTTTGCGGCTAGTTACATGTCTCAATAGCATATTTGTAGATTTAGCTTTAGCTGTCCTTTTTTTGTCAGGTGAAAATCATCAAGTGTAGGGCCGCCAAGGGTAAGGCGAGAGAGAATGTCAGATTCTTACTGACTAAAAGCCTCCGTTCCTTCTCCTGCTCTGGGCCGAGGCCGCGGTGACTCATTGCGCACCCCGGCTTAACATCAGCCCTATAGGGCCCCGTCTGTTGTGGAGGTCCATTGGCTTTTTGAGGCGCGCGCGGAACGCTACGCGCCGTACGCTCGGGTCTGGTTCTGGTCGGGAACTTTCCAACCACGCTACCACGTATTTTTTTCAACTTTTGCATCGTAGAACTTTAACTGATGCGCCAGCTGTTAATGATTAAGCGTCCTGTGGCTTGACACTAGTTGAGTTTTTCTCAGTTGACTCAAGTGAGTTTGTTGTTTTTGATAAAACCTCTATGTTTAGTCTTTTATAACTACGTGTCAGTTGGTAGATTTTTCTACTATACTTACATGAAAATTTGATATTAGTTACACCATACGTGGTAACGTCTCATCTTTAATTCAGAAATCGACTGATAGGTTATTGAGATACCCCGACACATAGATAGGCCAATAGTAGCCAAAGATAATAAGCAAAAATCTTAATAGACTTACATATTAATCTTAGAAATAATTTTACTTAACAACGACAACTTGTAGGTAACTTCACCAATACATTGCAAGAAGTGTTATGACTTTTATAGAACTGAGTACTCACTTGATATTCAAAATATAAATACAATTTATACAGTTCATGAAAATCCAGACTTTTATGTGCTATATAAATAAATTACTAGATCTTTAATGTAAAACTCGTATTAAAAAAAAAAATATTTTACTCTTTTCACTTTCTTTCGTGGATTATGAGTATGATACACTTAGATATTATTCGTATATTTTCAGCTAATTTTCAAGAAATAAATGTTCTATTTGACGTAAGTAAAACATTGTTGATGCCACCACTCAATAAACAAGAAAAAAATATTGAATTTGACAATAGCTTAGTATTCAACTAGGTACTCAAATTGAATTCTTTTCTTAAATGTCAAAAACGTTTCTTAATTTTATGAACGCCTTAATAAAGTACGTTTTAACTTTCTAAATTTTAACGCCAAACAGAATAGCTCTTGAAATATTTAAAAAAAGAAGTGCGTTTACATTTAAGTTTTTTCAATGCTTTAATTTTTTTTTTGAGTGATGAGGCTACCTATTTCTATATCAAATGACCTTACATACTATCTTAAGTAATATACAAGTACTTACTACTTACGTACTTTTAATAAGTCGATAGCATACTTTCCTACTTTTTTTCTATATTACAGACAAGACAGCACACAGCAGTGCCTACCTAACAATGAGTCGAATAATATTTATACATATAAGTCTATCAAAAAATCCTTAAGCTATAATATTGTAAATGTTATTTATTGTCTGCACAACAGTTTTCATTTAGATTGTGTTCAAGTTAATCATTTTAATATCTATTTTTACAAGCCCTATGATCTGAAGTTATTTAAAATATTTACATACCTTAGTTATAACTCCTAAGATTTTTGCAACATTGCCAAATTGATAAATATAGTTAATAATACATTGAGACGCTTTTAAAACCCATATTTACAAGAATATTACATTGAAAATGAAATATAAAACATTCAGTTTATTATCGATTTACACCGCTAGATGGCATTAGTACACCTATCTCAAAAGCACGGCTAAGATGATTTAAAAAGAACGCTATAAATATAGTACATACTCTAGTCGCATTATAATTTAAGTAATTTAAAAACTTTCCAGCCCAAACCACAGTCAAATAGTAGTTATGTACCTTCTACCTATTTATGTAGGTACTTATCATATTTTAAATGACATGAAAATCTTAAATATTAAATATTGAGTTCTTAAACAGCTTTTCTTAAACAGAATTAGTAATACAAATATTAAAAGGCAATTTCGCCAAAATGTAACACCGCCAGTGCCCGTGATTGGACGATTTTGTTAGAACAAGTTTCAAATTTTTAAAGATTCGTATAAATACGTTGGTCGCATTCTAAACTGGAAAATTGAGTTAATAGATTCGGCTACAGTGCCACGTTCGGGTGAGTTGCTAATTTAAATATTTAACGAAATATTTTTTTTTAAGTAACATAAAGTACATTGTTGCCAGATATTAAAATTAAAGAAAATGTTTTTTTTTCTTTCACGGTCACGTGCATAAACGAAACGTTTTTAAGCCGTTAAAAATATTTTGTAAACAATCATAACATTGTTTTTTATGTTATGAATAAGTTATTATTATAAGATTTGAACACACTAGCAGCTTAGAAAGCTGATGCGCGCATCAATGGTTTTGAAGATTATGACCACTTTTTTTTATAAAAGAATTAATTGTGGACGATTTCATCACATTTTCTAGGAGTTTATATAAGTGTGTCAAGGGATATAGTTTTGAGGATGTTCTCTACAGTTTAAAAGTAATAGGTACCTATATATAAATTAATTAATTTCAGCTATTATATTATTAAATATTTAACGCCGCCGCTCACATACAATTTCCGCGAGTACAAAAACTAATGAAATGTAGGTATGCAGTTCACTACAGGTAACTCATATCATCTCAAAAAATAAATAATGTATTTTTTTATATTTAATATCATAAACAAATTAAATTTCATTTCACATTTAAGTGAATATTTGTTCTTTTTATCTACAGGTCTTAAGATGCGCATAATTTTTTTTGCATATACATATGCAATTGATCAAAGATTTATGAATTAACTAGCGACCCGCCCCGGCTTCGCACTGGTGCTATGCTAATACTAAATGTAATTATACATATAAAACTTACTCTTCAATCACTCTATCTATTTAAAAAGGCCGCATCAAAATCAGTTGCGTAGTTTTAAAGATTTAAGCATACATAGGGATATAGGGACAGAGAAAGCGACTTTGTATTATACTATGTAGGTAGGTATAGTGATTAGTCAAAAAGATAAAACTGGCAAATAATTTTGAGAAAGAAATGATTAAGTAATTAGCGTTCGATGTTTTGCTAAGCAAACATCCAACGTTTGATAAATATTATAAAGATTAATAAAACAACCACAGCGTTTTGTGTCGCTGTGTGCATAAGGTTACTGGAACCCTAATCCCTACCCCTCCCCAATCCCTTTCAAACCGAGGCGCAATTCCGACCCTTCCTCATCCCTTCCCAATCCTTAAGTATCCGAAACCCTTGTGTCCATGGGCGGCGCTGATTGCTTGCTTACCATCAGGTAATGTTCGTTGTCGTAAAAAAGTTTAAGTTTCATATTTAAGTTTTATGTAATGTAAATGTAGAATTGCAGATACATATTTTTATTTTTTTACTTGTTACAAGACGCTCTTTTCCGAAGTGTGCATTCACTAGAAGCGTGTTACAAAAGGTTAAATTTTATTTTAAAAATAAAGTAAACAAGAATAGATTAGTACTTTATTATATTTTCGATGAATTAATTATTATTCACTTGTTACCGACTTGAAACCAGTTTAGATACACATGATTTGAATAAACGCGGAATCTGAATACGATTAAATTAATATAGTTATTTATACTGGTGTAAATATCTATTAATACCTTTATAATATAAAAACCCAATTTTTAAACCTTAGTAATGTCCTTTAAATCGTATTTTCCGTACGGAATTAATATTAGTGTCATCTATAAATTGTTTTTCCGTGTTTACCCGTCGTATTCGACGTAAAAGTGATTAAGAATCTATTCGTTTAAGGGATGATTTTTCAATGGTTAGATAAATCAGCCTCCAGAAAACAATTACTGGGGTTGTGAGCTGTGCTGTGCAAGTGAGGTTACCGGAGGCCCAATCCTTCCCTTCATGCCCCAATTTGTGGCCCAAAAAAGGTTGGCAAAGTATTTGTAACTCTTTTGTTATACGTGATAAGCAATGAACCTGATGGTAAGCAATCGTCGTCTACCACCCGCTCCGCTAGAGAAGTTACAAGTGCGTTGCCAACTTTTCAGGGATTAGGGTTTTGGAAATTCAGGCGTTGAGCAGGGATAGAAAATAGGGAGAAAGGAAGGGAAGTTTTTTGTCTCCGGTAACCTCATTCAGACGGCGAAACACAACGCTGTGGTTGTTTCACGCCGGTTTTCAGTGAGGCCGTGGTATCAATCCGGTCGAACCGAATCACTCGTGCCGAAGCTTGGCTCAGCCAAACTTTAACTATGAGATGTTTCGAGTATCAAAGGATGGCGTCGACTGCTTACCATAAGACGATCCGTCTACTCTTTTACCGACCTATCCCACAATAGTAAACAATACGCAAGGTTTGGGTCAAGTTAAACGAGCAGACAGATTACTAGAATCAGCGCTGCCCATGGACACTCCTAAAACCAAAGGTGTTAGGTACTACAATTGCGTTGCCGGCCTCTAGTGGATTATTAGGGATTTAAGGATAGGGTATTTGAGGATTGAGGATAAGGGGGCATGATTGGGCCTCTAGGTACCTCCCCTCACTCTTACTCACGTGAATAAACTTGGCCGTTGATTAACGTTCGCATAGCCAACTTTCGTCGCCGTGCACGCTGCTCGTGAATAAGAGTCCCGTTGTGATTTGTAACTAGTCGAGCTTTTCTCAATTAATTCGTGAGTAAGTCGTTATTTTCAACTACTTAGTATGTCTCACGATAGTTACTATTCAATATTAGGCTGTATTCTGTGAGACCGTAGATACTTTATTATATACCCCGGTCGAGCCGGCCCATTCGCGCCGAAAACTGTCTAGAAATGTGTTTCTCAATATACTTAGGTACGTGATTTTTATAAGTAATTTAATACAACACGTGATTAAGCGCTCATAAATTACTATTTTTTTTTTATGCATTTAATAGCCGATCAACAATTATGTATTCTTTTTTTATTCGACTCACAGCTGATCTTTTTTCTCGTTAAATCGACTAGCGTTTAGTTTTAATTTACAATTTCAATTTTTATTAGCATAAATGTATTCTTGTCTTTTTATACAAATAATTATCATTCGTACCTTCTTTTGAAGTTAACGTCTTTCGGTATTTTTTTTTGTATAAATTACTTTTTCAAGTATTTTCGTATTTCCGTCACATTTTTTTAAATTAATTAACTTTCCTCATTTAAGGAATGTGACTGATTAACTTATCTGCCATGAATGGACAATGCACGCCTCAAATGCATAAAATATGAAGATTTTTCTGTCAAACCTGTTCAATAACATCTCCGTATGTTAATTTGAAATGAATAGCTTAATCTGTCGCTAAGTGCATAAT